TTTTTCCTTTTGCAGGGTTCTTCCATTATTCGTATGCTTAGAAGTTTTATTGGAGACAAGAATTTCCAGAAAGGATTGGAGGTGTTTACTGATTCTTTCAATTGGCCATGAATTTATCCTTTAAAAATTTCCTTAAATCTCAATTTGTTGTTTTCACTTTTATTTTCAGCTTTATCTGAATCGTCACAAGTATGCTAATGCAGCCGCTGATGACCTATGGAGCGCTTTGAGTGAGGTAAATATGCAGATGAAACATGCTGAAAGGCGCCAAAATATTTTGTGTAATTTTTTATGGTGGGTCAGGTTCTCGGTCAGCAGAGACGAGCCAGGAAGAGAGCGCACGTCGAGCATGCGCTGGAGATCAATTTTAGCAGCCCGCGCACCAATTTCCCGCCCAAAATTTCAAAAGAAAGCAAAAGAAACAATCGCAGTCCGGCAAAATAAGCAAACATTAATTGAAACGGTTATAAAATTCTGGATGTGAAAAAAAAAAAAAGGGAAAGAGTAAACTTGAGACTTTTCGTACTCAAAGCTTGTTCAAGTGCAGGTATCCTGTTTAGTTACCGTTCCGTTTTGAGCTTTACCAAAAAGGGTATACGCCTCTAAAACACCGGGACTTACTGGCTTGTGTGTTTGTTTGTAACTCGTGCGAGACAACTTGGTTCTGATAGCCTGAAAGCGCGGCGCGTAATCATTGCAACGTTAGCATATGCGCAGACGTCTGGCCACTGCCTCCGTAGCCCTTGTTTCCTCTCGTTTTTTACTGGTCACTCTGGAGCCTGGAATAGGCTAGTATTCACATAGGATTCAGTAAGAAAAAAAAACAAGAAAGAGGCAATTATGATGAATCAAGAAGGAACAGGGAGGGCTGAAAATGTACAAGATTGACTCGGGTCACAACTTACCATGAACAGGAAAACAGGCTGAATATAGTAAGATTTACAAACCTCAAGTAGCTTGTTTTAATTTTACGTAAGCCTTTCTTCTGTGCTCCCAACAGTTGTGTACCTGTAGGAAATTCAGGTGTTTTACCTTTGTTTTTTTACTAAGATCTGCAAGGATCTCGATGTAAAAGCTATCATGGACACATGGATTAAACAGAAAGGGTACCCTGTGGTCTACATCGCGGAGAATAGCGCTCAAGCGAGAGATGGCTCTAAAAAGTTGTTCGCAACTCAGAAACGATTCTTACGAGACATTAGACAAGGAACAAAACAATACGATGACGAGTCTAAAGGGTATGTTTTGGACTGATATACTGGAGCTTGACCTTACAAAGGAAATAAATAACGATAAACCTCAAATTAGACATCTTAAACTTTGATATTGTAACTTAAAAGTCGTAACTTATGGCATTTACAGTTTACGTTGTAGTCAGGTTGGTCAATTAATTTCAGACATATGCTTTAAATCATTCAGTAGTCAACATGACGAGGTTTTCTTTTCGTCATCTTGAAATATAGTTCATGAAATTTATATATGTACATTTTGTGTCCACGTTTATTGGATACGTTTTGTAGTTATCAATGGCACATACCGCTGACATATGTGACGTCGCAAAACCCTCACAAGCAACATACGGTGTGGATGAAGAAGGAAAATGGTGAGTAAGGACTGGAAATAAGGTGGATATACTCTTGAAATTAGTATGAGGTTGTCCATTTTCGTATTCGTAAAATTGAGGATGTTATTTTTTTTCTGTTCGGAATATAGAATACAGGAGTGCTACAATGAGTAATATTGTGTTCCTGTAACTGATAACTGAGAGATTTAATCAATAAATATGAATGTGAGATTGTAAACCTAAAAAAGTCGATTTGAAAATTTAAATGAAAACGTCACTAGTCTTTGCCATGCGAATCTAGATTAATATATTACGTTACGTTGGGTTATATATCAGGCGAGAGTGTACGTTGACTATATTTTGAGTAAAGATTAAATTCTATCCTTTTTTAATTTATTCACAGTTCACGTTCCGTCTGTCAAGAAGTACAAATGGATCAAGGCAAACGTTGGACAGACAGGATTTTATCGTGTAAACTACAGCAAAAAGAACTGGAACAATCTTGTCAAACAGCTCCAGAATAATCACAAGGTAAAGAGATGCTATTTAAAACACGTTTCCTCTGAGTGTTATGTAATCAATAGCAAGGAATCACAATCGTCAATCACTCAGTGAAAATTCCATTCCATTCCAAATTTAAAAGAAGATAGAATGTATCATGCGATATATATTTCTTATAATAAATTATTAAACAAAGAACTTGGCTGAGTGAGAGTTATCAAGGGAAAGTTTGAACCCTAAAAGGAAATAATCATGTATATACTGGTCTGGACTAGATACATCGAAGAACTCCAACGGCTTTCGACTCGAGAACCTCAATTCGATCCGATTAAACGGAACACTCTGACCCTTACCATTACCATAGTCAACTACCAAACGCGTCCAAACGTTGATATGAAATTCTAAGAAAATCCAGTGATAACGATAACAAATGACTGTTGTTTATTTTAGGTTTTGGCTGCTGTGGATAGGAGCGGATTGATTGATGATGCTTTTAACTTGGCCAGGTACGACAAGAGAAGGAGTGTAATTTACTTGATAGTATGAAGTTGAGTCAGAGCGCATTTCGATTGACTGTCGTATAAAAAGTAATCATGACAGCCAGTCATAGAGCTGGAAGATATCACAACAAGCCAATGAAAATTAAAATAAGTTAAGATGTAAACTGCTTAAGGGGGAGAGATTGCCAGTGACCGAGTAAGCGTTGCTTTGAGGTTTGAATTGGATTGGTTGAGAGGTATGGCCAATCAAAGAGCGAAATAGGGCAAAACCAATGTTATTCTGACACTCTATTGAAATTGCTCCAATACTTATACAGACTGAAACAGTTGTTGAAAATCAGACATTAAAAGAGAAAAACGCCGAGGAAACGAATTCTCTACTCCGGGCATCCAGCTGCGATTCAAAAACGTCTGTGCTTTAGCGTCCTTGTGATGACGAGATGATTGGAGGATTTTCCCATAGGGGGGCCCACACTAAATTCTGACATGGATTCAGGAACATGTCATATTGTTTATTATGATAATTTATTAACTTTTCTTGATCAAGATGGAATAACATACACCCTAACTCCTCACCTTGCTTTTTTCTTGTAAAGCGAGCAGTTTTGTATTTCCTAAGCTGAACGGTTGGGTTACTTTTTCATTTGGCTAACAATCGGACCATCAACTTTGTCTATATGCAGGGCTGGCCAACTGGATATGTCCACTGCATTGGGTCTGACGAATTACTTAGATAAGGAGAGAGAATACGTCCCATGGTCCTCTGCTCTCGGTCATTTGGGTTTCATTGGGTCAATGTTGACCATGCGCCCTTCATACGGATTCTACCGGGTAAGTGGGGGCTTGAAGATCGGAGTAGGGATTAAGTGTGATTAAAAAAAAACTTTCATTTGACAGTCGAAAGTAGTCCTGGGATACTATGCTTTTTTCCTCCTTCACTACTTTCTTTGATCGGTCAAAAAAACTCGTGCCTTTTTCTTAGCAAATCAGATGAAATTAAAACCACGCGCGTTCTTCCGCGCTTAAGGTCAATCACGTGTTTTTACTTCTCGTTTCATTGGGTCTCCGTGATTATTTTGTTTGTTTGATTGGTTGTTGAGATGAATTTAGTTTTGCTCTGAGGACACGAGATCAAACAGTGATCTTAATCAGAATACGTAAGTTCTATTGCTCACAGTATATCCAAAGAGACGCCAAGAAGATAGAAAAAACAGGCGAATCAGTGTGGCCACTTGTTCGACCACTCACGAGGAAGTGATTGCAGTCTAACAGGATTTATTATAACCAACATTTGCCAAATTCCGTCCTTTGCATAGAAATACATTGTGAAGAAGGTGAAGCCACTCGAAAAGTACGTGGGATGGGGAACTGATGGCGATATCCTCAAGATGTAAGTAAAGAGACCTAGTGGATCATTATCGTAACGAATGGTCTGCTAAGAATAACTTTTAACAAAGATTGGAGATAAGCGGGTGGCAAATTTGTCAAAACCGTAGGTGTTGTTGATGAAAAGGTGGAAGAAGTGTGTGATTACATATGCACACAGAACTCCTGAAGCTTCTCTTATGTCACCTTAACGGTATAACCTAATTTTAACATTTAGTCTTGGATTTATCTTTTTCGTACGTACTTTAATGTTTGGAAGGTTCATTTATCGGCATTTCGTTTGGGAACATCATATGAAAATCATGTGAAACGTCCTTCTCCATCGCCAATACGAGAATTACATCTGACTGATTTTCAGTTTTAGTTAACTTCAGTCCGAATGCCTTCTCCTTGTTTGCACACTTTCGTATCCAATTCGGCTCTCTTCGGTATGTGAACAGTATATATATTTTCACCGTGAAATTTAATTCGTGAATTTTTACCAGGTATCTGCGAAACAATGTGCTGTCAACATTAGCCAGCCATGGTGATGAACATGCAGTGGATTACAGTTTGACTGGATTCAGAATGTGGATGAAGAATCAAAGGTTAACAATAAAGACTACAATTATTAACGAACTCAAAATACACCAGCTTTAATTATCCTATTTTAATTTACTCAATGACGCTTTCGACATTGCTGATCCCAGCAGTATGCAGGACGCGTGAGTTCTCTGTAGTTCAGTAGTATAACGTCGGAGAACGGATGACTGAAAATTTGATTTCAAAGGTCCTAAGTTCGATTCCTTATGGAAACTCAAAATTTTTGTAACCGTGGTACGCGACTTACACCTACTGCTTCCCCTTCGTTCTTTACTCGGTCTTTTGCTCGCCCCTTCGTTTGTCTGTTCGTTCGTTAACTCATCCATATGGTATTACGCTCACTCGTTCGTTCTTGAGCCCACGTTTCTTAGTTTATTCGTTCATTTTTTACTTTATGGTCTTTCTTTGTTTATTCGTTCCCCTCGGTCATTTTGTTTCGTTCAGTTGTTCATTATTCCTCCATTTCCTCTACCCTTCATAATGTCTTCTCATTATGCACGTTCACGTAACCATCAAGGGCTACATCTAGTAGCCTTTCCTTATGTACGCGTTTCATTATATCTTAAAGTCATGTAAGATCTCTGTCTCTTTAGCCTCACAATCTCTCCTCATCTACGGGACATTGTATACCATACTGCTATTAAGTTCGGTGGACTAGAAGAATGGGAATTTATGTGGGAGAAATACCAGAAATCCATTGACGCCACTGAGAAATCCAGGATACTGTACGCTTTAACAGGCACCAAAGAACCTTGGCTGTTGAACAGGTAAATTTATGAGAAATCTTCAGCGCGGTGTTCCAAATAGTATGGGAGTGCATTGATTTTGCTCCAAACTTCTTTGTAACTAGTCCAGAAAACTTGCACCGCCCTCACAAACAATCAAATGCAAGTAGGAAACCAATTGTGACTCAGTCACTCGGGTGTTCCCTAGGCTCGATTTCCGCCGCTCTCTCGTGTCTGGTCTTCGCAGCTTCCCGAGAAGAGAGGTGGGTTCGAGTGGCAGAAACGCGGGCTCATATTCCCGAACAGCGGCTGGTAATTGAGCCTACGTGTTGCCGTGCTTCAGGCAAATGCGGCCTTCATATACTCTTAGGCTCCTTGTGATGTTCCTGTGTTTTAACCGGCGCTTGTTATTGCTATGGTCTTAGTTTTATAGCAATCGCTTGGAAAATGTTCGAATCATTTTTTATCTTAATTACAGCCTCCTGGGTTAATGACAGGAAAATTTAACCGGATTCGTGTTAGGAAATTTGAACGGAAAATTCTCTCTAGTGAGCATGGGTGATGAAGATTTATTTATTATTACGTTATCCCCAGGGGATAGAAATTTGTTCAAATGAACATCCAAAAAGTTCTAGTTTTGCATTAAAACGTAGATATGACAAAAGGTAGCTCATATGATATTAAAGTTGATCTTTAAATCGATCGACCGTCAGTTCTCCTAGATCACTAAGCTTTAATTATTTTCAATTAATTTAGGATCCTGGAATCTTCACTTGATGAATCAAAGATCAGAACACAGGACATGTTACACGCTATTTCTGGGGTTGGCTCACATGTCTATGGACGCCTTCTGACTTGGGACTTCATCAGAAAGAACTTTGACAAGATCGTGAAAAAGTAAGAACGACTTACATGCTTGAGGTTGTAGTATCAAGGTACACGCAATTTTTAAAAAGGCCTTCAACCTGTGTGCTTCCAACCTGTGTCAAATTACCGCGAGGGACAACCCTTCTGCTTCCCCTTTGTGGGAAGGAAAGTTGCTTCACCCGTCGGATAAGACTGTGTGAAAAAAAACCCCCTCCCTCCCCCCTACCCCGGTCCTTCTTCTTGGGTACAAAGAGTCACTTTTTTTTAAAAAAGAAAAGAGGTGTTGCAACAAACAGGCCTCCAGGGTCCCTGTAAAAAATATGATTTTCAGCACTCTTCGCGGTAATTCGCCCTAGAGAGTTTTTTTAAAAGCCTTTGGCAAATGAGGTGTGGGACTAACGATTTTAAAAACTCTCAGTTTTGCTCTTTACATATCTTAACATTCTTGAAAATTAATCATCATTATTATCGTCTGTTCTGGTCGCGCCAGTGGCGCATAAGGCCTTAGAAAAGGATGCTCAAACTTTACTCCATAATTCAAGGTTTAAAAAGAAATTAAGCGGTGATTTTTAACAGCCATTTGATTTCAAGTCCTCCTGAGCATGTATAAACTTCGATTTAATTGTAGTTGGTTTGTTTTTACACAAAGGCGGTGTGAGGAATCTAGTATACGACTGTATGAGGAAGAAAGGTTATTACGTTAGGGACAGTGAGAACAGACAGAGAGGATTAAGGGTGCTTTTGCTATTAAAAAATGAAAATTATTTTTTTACCTAGGATGGGAAATGACGCAATGGAAATCAGTTATTTGGTCAACATCGCCAGCCGAGGAATGAACACAGAGTTCCAACTTCAAGAGGTGCTCGAAGATAGAGTTTTGTAGACATATGACCTTTTTATCATTTTTTCAAGCATAACTCGGCGAAGGGAATGTTATGGATAAGTCGAGGGAAACGTTCATTGAAGGATCAATGAATTGCACTAAAAATAAATCATTTTGAAGATCATGAAATTTTGCGTAGGCAGTTACCCTAAGATATCCGTATTCCCGAAGATGATATCATTACATGTACTAAGCCTTTTCCTTGAAAGTTTTGTTAGATAAACAAGAGACGCCATATGGGATATCATTGGATGAGATAAATTTTTTACACGGTCTTTTCATCTTTTAAACAGTTCAAGGATTTTATCAATCAACACAAAGATACAGTGGGTTCCCTGCGCGCGACAAAGAAATCATTGGAGTACATAGAGGGTTGTATTAACTGGATGAAAAATCATGGGAAGAAAGTTGAAGACTGGCTCCAATCCCAAGTGGATTCCCTCAGCAGTAGACTGGAAGATCTCTGAGAAAAATGAAATATTTACAACATTACACCTTAGTGGTATCTCAACAAACTGTGGCTGTTTCCGAGCTACTTTTTAGTTAAACCTTTCGGATTTACCTTCATGCATACTTTTAAGATAAGAAAGTGTCGCAGTCATTCTTCATGAGTGTGGTGCATTTCCCCCCCTATATTCTAAACGGAAACGTTTGTACAGACCCGGCAAAAGAGAATGGAAACCCACTTTGTGAAGCTAACATTTGTCAAAAGAAGGTCTTTCCTTTACGAAGTAGTCTTAATTTGTTGTGATCCCTCCTCATTGGCAGTCAATTTCCTATCTATAGCTTCCCCTTTAACTTCTGTCAGAGAAGACTTATACCCCCCGTTCCCTTGAAAACAATGTGATAACCTCCCCCCCCCCCCCCCCCCCCCCCCCCACATTAAAAAAAACCTCCAACCATTTCCCTCGGCGATAAATAATGAGCGGTCCATTGCCTTTTATCTCCACATTTTCTTACTCGTTGGCCTCTGTATCTTTGCCTCGACACAAATACATCAGGGACACGCTCCATGTGGAACTATATTTTGTTCTGCTACTTTTGAAGGATTAGCAGCTGGTCCATGTCAACATTATCATACAGGTGTGCAGGTGGAGCAGGGAGGGTGTATCACCCCCCATCCCTACGAATAAATACGTAGGAATGTAAAAGTGATGTTTCATACAGGTAATTAAGTGGTATTAAACTGCTAGACTAAAGTGGTTAACTTTAAGGTTGGAAATTGTGCACTATATTATAAAAATTCCCTTTAACATGAGGTAGTTAGACTTTTCGGCGAAGCTTTTGGTAACGCTACCTATGGAAACAAAAACGTGTCATTATTTTCACGAGTAAATAAAGCAATTAAAAGAAGACAACTTGCCTAACTAATTAACAGCTTCGCTCGAAAGAGGAAGGTAAGGGGCTCCATTTTGGATGACATTTTCTTTGAAATTATCAGTTGCTCTTGCAAGACGGTTTATCATAACCAAAATAACTGGGCGAAATGTAATAAGTTGAAATGCATTTTTTTATTAACTTTTGAACCCCCGGTCATGAGATTATACAAAGTGATTACCGATCAAAGAAGCTCCTGATCGTCAAACAAATTCTCCTCGTCAGTATCAAAGGAAATGTAAAGAGATCAGTTTGGAGAATGTGAATACTGATGTAAGTGTGTAAAAGGTTAACCCGGCAAGAACTTTGAACTTGTAATGAAAACCGCGAATATGTTAAATAGTATACGTCATGATTATGCAAATGACGCCAAAGACGAGGAAAGACTGGGGAATAGCTTGACGGATTTTCCATCATATTGCTAAATGAAGAAAGTATGTAGTTTAGTCCGTTTTGTTTCATTATTGTTGTGTAGGTAGTTTTGAAACTGGCATTACGATGAAGTTCTTAGGAATACGTAGTAACAAATTTTAGAAGGTGTTTTCGCGGTTATAAATGAGCATGCAAACAGGAAAGTTGGGAAAATTCATCGTGATGTAACCACAGGCAGACCACCTGATGGGTACAACAGGAAGGCAAACTAAAGAGAAACTAAATGTTGGTTCACCAAACTTTTGCATACGCGGGCCATTTAAAAACCTCCTTTCACTGGATCGTTCTAAACTTCTGGTACTGAACGATCAGCATTTGGTCGTTGTGGCCTGGCAAACACTGATTGGTCAATTTAAAACGAGTCACATTACTCGAATTCCTTCGTTCACTGCAGTGAGCACCGTTCATGATAAGAAAGCCGTAACTTTGATTTTCCTGGCAATTATCTCGGAAAATACTGAGGGGGAAAAAACTATAATTTTGCCAAAAGACGAAAATGTATCTCATTGATGAAAGAACGTCGCCCGATTGGTAAGATCTTTAATATTTTGACATTGATTTTAGTTTGAAGTGGGGGAGATCACGGCCGCCCGGCGTGAAATTGCAACCTCTGTTTTATTTTCCGACAGAGCATACTTGCAACGTTTTTGTCTGACTTCCTTTTTAATTTTTTGTTGTTGTAATTTTCCCGTTTAATATATTTCTGATAAATAGTTTGGAATGCTTCACTATACTGGTCTTTTCAATTCAATACCAAGTCTTCTAACACTTGTCGGTAAGTTTACCCTTTTTCCAACACTCTTAAGTTGAAGGAATGCATCGAACCTCTACAGACTTGAACTTGAACGTTATTAAATCAAACAACAAAATTCGTGTAGTAATGTCATTTTAGAGGCAAAACACTTTTTTCATAGAATCTTTGCTCACTTGTAAATTTCCGATGATTTGTTGGTTTTCCCATTTTACAAAAAGGTTAGAAAGAGTCTGCAAAGTGTTTTTATATTTACTGTTTCACTTCATTGCATAAGCGTAGGTTTTCTCCCAATTATTGGTAAGTTTACCCTTTTCCTAAACTGTTATATTCGGGACATGCATCGAAACGCCGCTCCATTTGATAATTGTTAAGTAAAAAAAAA